GAAATTCAGCTCAGTATTGTGGTATCCCAAAAATCCATTAAATGTGCCAAACACATGCTCCGTAACTATCACTCTCTGGCACAAGCAATGTTCCTCTTCCCTCCCCTCCATGATGCTGGCTAGCTTCTGCACACTTTTAAACAAGCAAGATGTAGGCTGTCCATCCCAAGAATCACAGTTGGCATTGCAACTGAGCCAAACACCTAGCCTGGAAAGCACCCCTCCACACATCTCATTTCCAGGGGTATAAGCATCATCCAGTCAACCTTAAACTAAGGCAAATACAGTATTTCGAGACATTCAGTAATGCTTATACACCTACTCAAAACATCACTGTTTAAACACTCAAAGAATAGGATGAGGAAAATTGTGAATCCCTGAAAATGAAGCCTATTCAACACAGGGTAAACATACCAGGTACTCCAGGTTAGGTAGTAAACATAGGTCAACTCTACACGGACAAGTAAGCAGCATATAATTTCACTGACAAAAAATAGCACTTAGCGATACCCTTGAAACCCCATTTACCACACTCTCATAATTCAGGATATTGGTGAAGTTTACCAAGGTTCCTTTTAGTAGAACAACCTTCCCATATTGAAATGTTCTGCAGCTACTGCTGTTGTCCCATATTCATCATCACGATCCACAGCCACATCACTCAGTCCTCAATTCAAGCAGCATCTCACGTTTTCACTCACCACCCATTCCTCTGTAATTTTCTCATTTTCACTACAGTTGGATGACCAGAGCAACTATGGTGGGATATTGTCTTTAAAAAAAAAAAAGTCACGAAAAGAATCATACACCCTAAAATTCACAAATATTTTGTATGTCTGTACTGTGTTCATACAGCTCACAGACACGCTGAAGAGACGAAAAACCCACTCTGGGAAATGACATTTTTTGGGTTATATGAACGTTACAAACAGCACAAAAAGAAAGAGTTGCAGCCGTCTAGTAAATCAGGGGGAACTAATCAGGTAAAAAAATTAACTTATCATGCAGAAAACTGAATTCATCAACAGCAAAACAAGATTAAAACTGGTAAGTGTTTAGCTTCCCCCCTCCACCCCAGAAAAAAAAAAAACACAACACCAAAAATCCCCACAGCTATTTCTCACTGTTACTTGGTAAAACTTTTTGCACAGTAGTTACACATGCTAAGTAATTATGCACAGTTGTATAAGGGCTCAGGATTGGTATCTTCAATTTCCATTCTCACGTGTCAGAACTGTGGTTCTTCTAAGTAAGACTTCCCTGTTCCACTAAGCCTTTTTTTGATGAAAACTGGATTCAAAAAAGAGAAATATGTATTTGTTCATTATTATAAATTACCTTACTTATGCTGATACATCAAAACACATTTTGCACATAAAAATGAACATAAATCGTACAGAAATAATTTTAAGTTAGTTGATGGATAGCAACCTAGGAGGAATCAGCTTTATTTGCTTACAAACCTGGCTACATTGGATCAGATGAAAGGCATATCTACACAACTGCATTTTCTCTGGCAGTGGCCAAAGACAGATTCTTATTGATTGCTGGAGTCACATGTGGCTTCTTAGTCTGCAACCCCTCACGTAGCTTCTAGATGTCATGGTTTTGTGACATATAAATTTTATTCATAACAAGAGTAAGAAGATCCCTCCCTCTTTTTAATACTTTATTATTTCAAATCTCAACTTTGAATAAGCTTGTCATAGAGCTGAAGTAAAGATTGGAAATAACAAAAAAAAACCCCACCCCAAACATCAAGAACAACAACAAAATTCTTAAAATTGGTACGAAAAATTCATCTGAAGAGATGCCTTCAGTCATAGTTCTTCTGACACACACTGGAAAGAAGCTGTAGTTGTGATGATGCAGCTAGCCATTATTATCTAGCAACATAGAAGAAACCAGGCTTAAAAAGAATAATAATCTTTCTTATTAGACCTGGAGATGCAAGTTGGAAAAACCATACCCATTTTAGGTTTACGTGCCTCCATCAGAGCCTTTTTCAGAAAGCAGAGATGCATTTTGTTTTAAAGGCACACGGGCAGTTAATGGAGATCAGAAATAGAACCTTCATCTCTACGCTCCTTTTCCAACTCAGCTATAAACCATCTTTTCTTTCCCCACCCTCTCTCTAAATGATCTGTATTAACTGTAATTCCCTCTGATTACAGTCACTCTCTTAACCCTTTTGCTTTACCCTCCCACCAGACAGCCCTGTCACATACGTTGCAGAAGAAGAGAAGAGGCCCATGGATCTATGATTTGGGGAGGTGGGGGGCACAGGTCCACGGGGGTCTCAGACACCACACAGGCTAGCTTTCCAAAATTTCTGGAAGACTTATTATATATGACCTACTAGAAAGAAGCTATGAATTTTATTAAGCCCAGGATATATATTCTATTCTGCAAAAGAGATTTAAGTATAAGTTTTATTAATTCTGAAGTATGAGCTACAGCCATTTCTAGCCAATCACAAAGTGATAGCATATTATCAGACTTCAGTAGATTTAACATTTAGTACAGGTGAATATTACACACTAGCTCCTATACAAGAGAAAAACCAAACAAATATACAATTTGCTAAGGATATTTATTGGTATAGTCAGGATTACAAAGCACACAACTCAGTAGCCAGGACACCCAAATCTGTTACAGAGAACCTTCATATATTACTTTCTACAAGCGCTTTGACAAAGATGCCTAAAAAAAAAAAGTGCATGTGTACATATTCATATTACTACATCCACTGTAGAATGAAAACATCGCTCTGTGAGCTGCAGAAGAATCACAGCGCCTCCTATTACTGCTGTAATGGCAACGATGATAAGCCAGCTGTTGCCAAAGAGAACATGTAACAGCTGAGAAAAACCCTTATTGTGGGAAAGAACCATAAATTAGGGTCCTTCTCACCCATCCAGCTACCTAGCTGTTTATTTTCCCAGAACTTGTAGAAACTTTGTTAAACGCAAGACCCGCGCTCCTCTAGGAAGATGATCAATAAGTTCCTAAGTCAGACAGCCCAACAGCAGCCCCATTTCCTTACAGCCATAAACACCAATACGATGAACAGATTTGTCCCATGGGACAAATGCACAGACATGGAACCCACAGCAAGAGATCCCACTAACATCAAGCAGCTTTACAGTTGGGTATAACCAACTAAAATTTGCGACTTATCAGAAACAGTTTCATGCCCTCTCCTCACAAAAGCTTTTTTTTTTTTTTAACATTTCTGAAAAGGAAGAAACAGCTACAAGAATCTCTTTGAGACTGCCGGTATTTTCCTACCACCCCTGAGCAAGACAAAGACTTCTCTAGGGGTGGACCAGGGACTGGTGACAGAGCAGGAGCCCTACCAGCCAGGCTGCGCACCACCGCGAGGGAGACGACCCCTGCCCTCGGCCCCTGCACCCACACCGGCGCACCCGCCCTGGAAACGGCAAGTTTCGGAGCAGGGACCAACTCCTGCCCCGTGCTCAGCCACCTTTAAAAACCCCAACGCGACGGGCATGCGCCAAGAACCGCCAAAAGCCAGCGGTGCCACCGGTACCGGCTCAGGGGGCAGAGGGGACGCCGGTCCCACAGTGAGCCGGCCCCACAGCCCGCCCCGGCACTCCCCTGCCCCGCCACACACGCCCGACCCCACAGCCACCGCCTTCGCGGAGGGAGGGCCGCCACCCGACAGCCCTCCTTCGGTCTCCCC